CCAGCCCAGTATCCAATACTGTCAGCATCTGGCCTATTTCCAACACCTTTTTGGGTACAGGTGGGTGGCAAAATGTTTGGCTTTGCTTTCTGGTCAGTGTTGGAGTATATCCCAGAACACAGTTAAAGTTGGGTCAAAGAGCTAAATGGGTTACTATAACCTTTGCTGTTTCAGAGACCATAGGAGAGGGGGAGGGGCTTCTTTTTGTTCAGTTCCCCATAGAGTAGGCAAGAAGCAGAAAAAGAAGTTTCCTGAGACAGGAAATTAAATTGCAGCTGTACTGGGAAGTAGCAGAGAGCCTTCAGCCACAGAAATCAGCTGTTTACTTGAGCCTCAATTCAACTACAAGAAAACCAAGAAAGGACAATTATGGTTGCTGTCGCTTTGAACAATGAATGTCATCTTCATTCTGACGAGGTGTTGTGATGACCCCATCTCAATAGGAGCATGATTTATGACCAGAGAAAATAGCTGATGAGCCCATTCTATACCCATCCTACCTGGCCCATTTTATTGGTTCAGACTATAAATAATAGATTTACATTTTTAAAAAATAATAAATTAGCCAGGGGTGGGGCTGGAGACATAGCTCTTCCGGAGGATCTGAGTTCAGTTTTCCAGTATCTACCTGGCAGCTCACGACAGTTTGAAACTCTGGTCCCAGGGAGTCTAAATCCCTCTTCTCGTCCCCACAGGCACTTGCATGCAAGCTGTACTCATATATACACTCAGGCACACATATCTACCCATAAAATAAAAACAATTAAATCTTTAAAAAAAAATGAATAAATAGCCCAGGGTATAGAGTACCCTTTAAGCACAAAACTCCAACAAGTCTTGAAAACTGTCTCTTTCCATCCTTTGCCCTTCTTTCCACTAAGTGGCTTCTTTCTTGGATTCTCATTCTGCTTACAGTGTCCTGGGTCCATAATGTAGCAACAACAAAGAATGCTACTTCCCAGGGCATTCAAGAAAGAACTCTGGGAACTCACTTGGGCCTCCTGCCAGCATAGAACCCACAGTTGCGGACAACACTCTACACTTAGATTGGATGAGCCCAAGTCCAAGTAGCTGTGTCGACTCGGGGTAACCTACAGGGAACAAGAGCGTGCACGGATACTTATGAACAGAAAAGGAAAAATACAAAAGCAAGAATGGAAACAAGGTAAGAAATAGGAAAAGGAGTTTGCTAATACTGATTTTTTTTAAGTTTTAAATTTTAAAAACATTTTAAAGTAACTGATAGAGCCTAAAGTGCTGCTGCAGTTGCTTGTGGGGATGGAAAATAGCAAAGGAACCCTTATCCTCTGCAGAGCCTGGACTGCAAGATATCCAGCAAGATATCAAATGAGCGTGAATGCTGAGCAAGAAAAAAAAACAAAACAGATTCCATCCAGACTCAAAAACATCTCCAGAGGACATGGACTTCACACCAATCAGAGATTCATTTCCTTGAGATAAACAGAAACATCTCTAGGGTATTCTAACTTCTTTTTCTTTCTTTTCTTCCTTTCTTCCCTCTTTACTTACTTTCTTTGAAAACAGATAGAGGGCAAATATTTAAGTGTGTGTGTTTCCCACATGCATTAATGATAGACTGTCCTCTCCAGTTCTAGAAACAGGAATAACTCTAGGCACAGTTAACATGGAAATCCCTAAGCAGGAACTCTTTGATGGAGTATAGCATCTGGAAGGCTTATCAAAGCATCTGATGATGTGGCTACAGGAAGAAGAATGGATCCTGCCAACACCAAATCCTTGGGTATTTGGGCTACTGGCATCTTTTGGAAACTTAATTTTCCCTTACAGCTGGGACTTAAAGAAAAACTAGGAGAGTTATGAATTGTGTGTGCCTCCTAGGCCTAAAGGGATAATCAATCTTTTAACCACAAGATAAATAAGTCAAGTGCCTCTCAAGTTTAATACTAATAAAGGCAATTTCTTCCATCCTTCATATTCAGTAATTTAATCTTTCTTTTCTGGGACTCTGGATGCCTTCAGCAAAGAAAAAGGCCTTACATAACTGAAATGTATTTGCCTCTCATAACAATAAAATTCAAATTTTTTTCATCTACCTAATAAAGATAAAATGTCACTGGTTGAAGGCTACATTTGACAATATGGTTGTCCATAATGACAGCTCATGATGGAGTCAGACCTGGCCTAGAAACAAAATGTTCTACTCCATTGATCCCACTTGTCTGTTCCTGGTGGCAGACAGGTAATTGGACTACTGTTTACCAATAAAGAGTTTAGTTAATCAGAGGTCCCACACTAGCAACTCAGCATCTCCTGAGCCAACACATGTGTGCTGGAGATGATCGAAAAGCAATAAAGACCTAAGACAAAACAGATGGTAGTCTCCAAAAAGAAGCGAAAGCTTTGCTTGGTTTTGTGTTTTGTTTTCATTCATGTTTTAAGACAAAAATCTCACTATGTAGACCAGGCTGGCTTGGAGCTTTTGATCCTTATAACCTCAAACTACTGACTGTTGGGACTTTAGGCCTGCACCATCATGAAAAAAAAAGTTTTAACTTTTCTCTATAGCAAGGGTTTATGGAAAAACTAGGAGAGTTATGAATTGTGTGTCCTTCTTAGACCTAAGGGAAAATCAATCTTTAACCTGTCGACATAAAGTACCAACTCTACACAAAAAAAGGAAATAGTTTATTCCAAGCCCAATATGTGCAACCATGACCTGGGGACCCAGATTCAGTGTTCCACCAAGCAGAGGTTACAGAAAATAAAAATCCATAAATCAATGTGTTTACAAAATACGGCTGTAGGGTCTTCTGTCGGGCAGGCTGTAGAACGTCTGGGAAATCTGTGGGATTTCAATGCCGTCTTTGCACATACTTAGCTTTGGGGTTGGTGAATCTAAGTGTGTCAAACTCATTGAGCTATTTCAGGAGTTTATCTCATCAAAGTCAATGACGTTAGGTAAGGTAAAGAAGTGAATAGTGAATGGCAGTTGAAAGGGGCAAAAGATCACCCAAGATGATTTTGGTTCTTAATCTACACAATAAATATGTTCTAGTCAGCTAAAGTCAAGTAGTCTTCAGGATCATCAACATTTGTTGCAGCTTCCAACCAGAACTACAGTTTACAAACTACAAGATAAATGAGTCAAGTACCTATTGTGTTTACTACTTGTCCATTTGTCTCTATTGTAAGCTATTGTCTTATTGTAAGCTCTGTCATAAACACAACAGATTCTCTTAGCCAGATGCAATATCTTTGGGATCTTGTAGCTTACTTCCCTATGATTGAGCAGCCTCATGCACATAACATTAAATGCCCAGAAGAAAAGAAAGTTGTGGTCAGAACGTCTGGTGCTCTTGGCAACTGTGTTTTCACAGTAACTGTTTGGTATTCCATTGGCAACTAAAACGTCTGCATTCTGGATGTAAATAGCAGAGTCAGTGTGTCAAGAATCCCTATATCAAAAAGGCTTAAAGCCAGCTGCTACCCCATGGCCAACGATCAAAGCGCTTGGGCTCTTCCAGTCTCTGCACTCTAAAACCCAGAATCTTCCCAATCTGTCTCTCCCCCAGCTATCAATTCACCTGTCACGAGGCTTCTTAGAGAACATCTTCTTCCCCAGACACAAACTGTCCTCTCACCTGTGAGTCTTCAAACTCAGAAAATTCAATGCCACAAAGTCAGTGTTTTGTTTTCTTTTGTTTTGTTTTTAAAGTTCTTTTCTGGCCTAAGAGTACTCTCATGAACCCTTTGCAAAATACAAGCATGAGGGGTAGGTTTATTAGCAAGTACAGTGGATATTTGTGATGCCATACTGCATTAGGTGTGATGGAAAACTACCCGTGAGGAGATACAAACATCATAAGCCTCTTAGGGAGAGAAATGCCCTAGCTACTGCACTCAAAGAAAGAAGTGATTTAATCACAAAGGGCTGTCAGGACAAGCTGTTTTGGAAGACACTGAGGTCTCATCCGGCGTCGGGACACAAGAAGAAAGTTGCAATCAAGGCAAAGAGGAGACTGGCTCAGACGTTCTGAGAACAGGCTTCCCCGGAGACAGTGAATCTGAACTTTGGCAAGACTGCTATGGAAGTTAAACCAGATGGTTGGGAGGGAGACAGAGTTGGAGAACTCTGTATTTTAGGCTGTAAAATGGAAGTGAAGGACTGCTCTTTCCCCTAAGCTTTCATGATTCTTCACTGCCAAGTGGTGGATCTGAATACCTCTACAGAGAGATACACCAAACCAATTGTGTGCGAGGTCAGCCCTCCATATCCATGGGTTTTTCAGCTGCGACCTCAACAACCTATGAGTCAAAGCCATTTAGGAAGAAAATATTTTCATCTCTTCTGCATGTGGAAGCGGGTTGTTTGTTTATTGTCATTCTGTCCCCAACAATAAAGTATGGCATCCGTGTAGATAACGTTTGCCTTACATTGTTACCACGTAGAGATGTTTTAAAATAACCGGGAAGAGGTGCATTCATTACACAGGGGTTTCAGTACCACCTGGAGCAATTGAGCCCTTGAGCAACCCCCTGTGGACCGATAGGTACATCTGCATTTGAAATGAAGACAGCTCTGACTGTAAGAATCCGGGCTCCAGGCAGAAAAAAAAAAAAAAAAAAGCCACCATTTCCTATGAACAAAGGCAAGATGGCAACTAAGAGGACTGCCTAAGGTCCTTGTTCATGTGTTGGTTTCTTAACTGCCCGGAGTCCTCTGGCTCCAACAGAAAAGGAGCGCCCCTCTGCCCCTGTAGGCTGCAGCTGGCCTGAGATGCCCCGATCCCAAGGGCTCCGGAAAACCCCTTTTAAATCCCGCTTGCCCGCGGAAAGCGAAAGTGGCCACATCTGCAAGCCAGCGCTGCACACAAAGTTCTGGTCCTTCCAGCTGTGCGGGATTCCCAGGTTGAACTCTTCCCGGAAACTTTGCTTCACAGCTCCTCTTGCGAAATCAAGCGGGCCCTCCCTCCGCTCTCGGGCCTCTTAAAGGCCAGAGTCTGGAGCCAGCGCAGAGCGCAGGCTGGCTACCTCCCTCTGCATGCCAGCAGGCAGAGCCCACCTCAGCTGCTCCTGACCAACCGCCCTTGGGGCGCTTCGCCCGCAGGTGGGTCGCTTTACTGGCTCTTGCCTTGTCCCTCTCGCCAGGGGCTGAGGTCCCTTTTCTGTCTCAGCACACCTCCAGCCCCTGTTTTCTGGACTCCACTTTCCAGCCAGCTGATACTGAGATGCAGGCAAACTCGCCCCCATATCCCTTTCACAGAAAGGTCACCCAAGGCTGCATCAGAATCAGTTAAGCAATGCAGCCAGTTGTTACCTTCCTGACTTTGTATTACTCAACTCCTCAAGGTGCAGAGGAGAAAGAACCGGGGCCAGATTCTTTCCCGAACTGGAGTCCTGCAAATCTGAAGCACCCATGGCAGAGGAGCACAGAGCAGAAAAGCAGCATAACACTAAATCTGAGGACTTCTTCACACACAGCTGAAATTGGCCCCTCTTCCTTGGTCTTAATTTAAATATCCTTAAGCCACTCAGCGGCTGCTTTTCCAGAGGAATACTTTTTGTGATACGCAAGGGAAAGAAAGCCTGTCCAAAGGCAGGTGGTAGGTGTCTGGGGGATTTTGTTGTTGTTTGTTTGTTGTCATTGTTGGTGTTATCATTTTATTCTGAATGGCGCTTTAAAAGATGAATGGTGTAACCTGGGAAGCAAGTTGCCTGAACTTGGGGTCCCAGTGTTTAGAGTTCTGTTCCTTTTCCTCACTGGCAGCTCAGTTGCATGGCCTCAGTTCCACAGATGTAAGTTGAGAACCGATTGGTCTAAAAGGGTACACACGATGTAGCCTTATGGTTTAAGATGCTGCGGGTGTGAAAGGTGTCGAAAGTCTTGCTAACGCTCTAGGTATAACTGAGTAATTAACTTTTCATAACAGCGCAAGCTTTGTATTTATAAGGAAACTCCACAGCTGTTCTCACAGGAGCATCTAAAAGTTTCACCACATTTATCATTCAGAGAATACTCCGGGCTTTCAAACCATTCTTCAGCCTTGCTGTGTGAGAATGTCCAATTCTGTATAAATGGCAGTCATATAAATGTCACTCACATGAAAGGACATTTTTTTTTCTGATACAGTAGGTGTAATTTTATAAAATGGCACATTTATTTGAAGCAGTAACTTTTTTGAGATATGGCCTTTGCAAGGCCCTGGGTTTTCACAACGCTGTGATTTAGCACGGTGTGAAATCCTACCTGCATGCATTCTACCTGCATGGCCAACACCGCCAGCCCAGAAAACAGGATGTAGCACTCTCTATTATCAGACTTCAAGGTTGTAAAGTAAATGGCACATGTGTACATCAGAATTGGGTCATAGCACTTTCTCCATTTGGCAACATTTATGGTTTTGCTAAAATTCACATAGCAACTGGCAGTTCAGAAACCAGCATAACACAAGCCCTGACCTCTGACTTTAGAATGGTTCACACACATCTGCCTTTCATAAGCTTACTAACTGTTGTTTAGAAGAAACCAAATAGATTTTATAACCTTTTATAAGAAGCTCAAAATACTAAGCCCTTCAGTGTGTCGCAAATAACTTTGGAGAAATGGGTTTGCTATTGAACATTAGAGTGAATAATTAATCCACACTGGCTTGTCTCTTGAAGGATTACCCCTAAATTACCTATGCCCTCAGTGCCAGTATCTAAATAGTATAGATTTTGCTTTCAAAGAATGCATGGCTGATTCTGCTGTCACAGAAACACATGTCTGTCTTTTATGGTCCTCACTATCTAGTTCCCTTCATAATAAATGTAAGGGCGGTGGAGATGGCCAGTAGGTAAAATATTTGCTCCCAAAGCATGAGGACCCAAGTTCAAGCCCTCAGCAATCTCACCAAAAAAAAAAAAAAAAAAAAAAAAAAAAAAGGTTTCTATGGCACACACCTGTAGTCTTATCACTGGATTGACTCCAGGAAGGATCTCTAGAGCTCATTGGCCAGTTAGCTTTGCCAAATCCATGAGCTCCAGGTTTGTGAGACTCCCAAATGGGAAGAAGGGAGACTTAGAGGGTTGAGAGGGGGACAAATAAAATTAATGGGGGAGGAGTAAATATGTTTGAAATACATCCTGTACATGTATAAAAAATGTTATCGTGAAACCCATTATTATGTATAATTAATGTATGCTAATTTAAAAATGTGAATGAGAAGCAATCCAGGAAGATAGCCAACAATGACCTCTGGCCTCCACAGACATGTGCAGACACACATTTCAGTTACTTGTGCATATACCCCATACACACAATTAAATAAGTGAATATATTTAGATTTTTTTTTCAATCAGATGCTATAAAATCATTTTATTGGAAGTCTTAGAAATACTGACAAATAACCGATGGGCAGAAAACAAAGCCAACAGAAGCACACAGTCACCCTTCTACGCTGGAGGACTTGTTAGAACTGAATTGAGTTGTCACCTGAGGACATTTGTTAAGCACCTACAGCTCATCTACCCATAATTCCCACCACAAGAAGCAGGAATAAGCCAAGCATAGTTAATTTTTCTGGATGGCCTTCAGGACTCTTTTAAAGATTAGCATAGATAAGAATAGAAATGAAATTCACAAAGACAAGGCCTCTAGTGTTACCTGTTCACATTCGAAAAGAACAGCTCATTAGTTAATTATGAAGACTTCTTGAGCTGCTCTACATGATATATGAAACCTACTCAGTGACTTTTAGGTCATTTCCAAAATGGTTTTAATTAACATTTGTTCTTTTGTTAAGAAGAAATCAGTACTGCAGAGAATAAAACTAAGTAAATAACTAAAGGATAATGAATGCTTAGAGCAATATGTGATAAGAAAATTACTTGGCCTATATAAAAATAATTTTTCTTCCAAAATGGTTGGAGAATAAAGAACAAGGAATGCTTATGCTGTTTGAAGATCGTTCAGGAACATGCCCTTGCAAACAGAGTGCGCTGTTTTCCTAAAAGAAATATTCCCACTGTAATTAAGAAGGGAGGACATTGACATCTCTGCTCTGTGTTCTGAGTTTATTCACCCATGTGTGGAGAGGTCTTTCCACATTGTACTTTGACAGGAGCATATTTCTGAAAAGTAATTGTGAGAGATATATGGTTCTTTCAAATTTAAAGTATATCATCATTCCTTACATCAGAATAGAGTTTTCTTTGCTGCTTAAAAGCAAAGAAAATGTATGGGATGGGTAATTTTGAAAAGTTAAGAGCTGTAATTTTGAATGAAAAAAAAAGACTAAGATGTAATAATCTAATTACATAGCAGATCTCTAAAAAAAAGTTGTTAGCAGGGCTGGAGAGATGGCTTAGCAGTAAGAGGGTATACTGCTCTTGCGGAGGACCTGAGTTCAATTCCTAGTACCCACATGAGGAGATTCACAGCCTAATTAATTCTTCCTCAGCAGAAGTTCAAAGGTTATTTATTTATCATGTTCAATTCTGTAACACAGGAAAAAAATAGCATGAGAAATGGGAGGAGATTGAGATAGAAATCATACAGGAACTGGGAAGATGTTGAGGCAAAGTCCATCAGTTAATTCATTGCAGTTAACAATATAAACCAGTTGTACACTTTTCCTAGACTGAGATCCTAAATGCTCCTCGCTTTAGTTTTGAGTCATGTCTGAGAAACTGGAGGATATTTTTGGTGAAGGGAGTTTACAAAGACTGCCTTTGGGAAGCAAGAGTCTAAGGGTATTAGAATTACAGCCCAAATTGTGTTGGCCCAGTGTGTGAGGAAGACAGAGTATGGGGCCTTTATTGTGGTGCTGGAAATCACATGGATTGTTTTTAAAATGAACTTGGGAGCCTTTGGGGAAAGGATACCCATAAGGAAAGATTTAGACATTAAGTAGAATCAGGATAAGAAAAGTGGTTTGAACTGTCTACCCGGTTACTTGCCCAACTCCATGGGCACAGGTCATATTTGGGAGAAGAGAATGAGCGGTAGGGAAGAGCAGGCACTAGGGTACCTGACTCTCTAAGGAGAAACAGTGTTAGTGGGCAGTGCCTGATGATTTCCATGGTGCAAAAAAACTCTACTAATATCTGATTTCAGGCTTCTGCCCAGCCAGCCAGCTCCACCCACTAGAAAGCATGGATTAAAATCCTAGGTATCAAAAAGGAAAAGCTGTTTCCTGAAATGTATTTATTAACTAGCACTGCTCAGAAGCCTGAGTACCAGAATATAACATGAGGAAGGGGTGGAAGTTCTGTCTCCTTCTGGGGCCTCTTTTAGAGCCATTGACAGCTCAGTTTATACATGGAGGCAAATATTACCCCAAAGATGAAAGACTAAGAAGTCCCCAGAAATTTCTAAAACTGGCAAGGAGATTTTTTTAAATTTATTTTATTATCATTTATTGCAATTTATTCACTTTGTGTCCTGGCTGTGTCCCCCTCCCTCATCTCCTCTCAATCCCACCTTCCCTCCCTCTTCTCCTCCTATGCCCCTCCCCCAATCCACTGATAGGGGAGGTCTTCCTCCCCTTCCATCTGATCCTAGCCTATCAGGTCTCATCAGGACTGGTTGCATTGTCTTCCTCTGTGTCCTGGGAAGGCTGCACTCCCCCAAGGGAGAGATGATCATAGAGCCTATCACTGAGTTCATGCCAGAGAAAGCCTCTGCTCCCCTTATTAGGGGACTAACTTGGAGAATGAGCCTATGGGCTACATCTGAGCCAAAGTTTTAGGTCCTCGCCTTGCATTGTTCTTGGTTGGGGTATCAGACCCTGCAGGATCCCCAAGGCTCAGTTTTTATGGCTCTGATGGTCTCCTTTTGGAGCTCCTGTCTCTTCCACCTCTTTCTATCTCTGCCTTCTTTCCTAAGATTACCTGTACTCTGCCCAAAGTTTGGCTATGAGTCTCAGCCTCTGCTTTGATACCTCAACCAGTAGAGTCTTTCAGAGTTCGTCTGTGGTAGGCTCCTGTCCTGTTCCCTGTGTTCCCCTGCTTCCAACAAAGAGATATTTTAAAATAGAATGGAAGGCCCCATTAGAGGGGTTTCTGGCAGAGAGTGGAGGGGGGAGGGTGGTAGGAAGATCAGATGTACAGAAAAATTCTGCCTCC